TGCAGGTTTGATGATAATTGTTTTCCCTGAATGTTTTAATCAACAACCCCCTAGAAAACTTGACAAAATGTACATACCAACAGCTAATTCACAAAACAGGAAATTAAAAAAACACTCTTAAATGCATGAAAATACACTCAATCTTACCCGTAAGAGAAATGTAAATCAAAACCATGCTGGGATTTTTTTTTTCCACCTCTCACATTTACAAAGATAAAAACGTTTAATACTAATCATCATTAAAATTATTGTTATTATATGTGCCATGTGTTCTACTAGGCACTTTTTTTTTTTTTATTTAATACTTAGTTAATGAGAGTGTGTAAACTGCTATATATTGTGGGCATGGGTCACAAAACCTCTACTGAGAGTAGTTTGGCAATAACTATAAAAGTTTTAAATTATCTGGCAATAAAAGTTTTAAATTATTTTATTTACGTTTTGAGACAGTGGTTACATTTCCAGGAAAGTATCCTTTGATATTTACACACCATAAATATACAAGGACATTTGTTGCAATGTTGTTTGTATTTGTCATAAGACTGACATCCACCTAAATGCCCATCAATAAGGAACTGGTTAAATTATAATTCACCCATGACAGTGGAACTCTATGCAGTCATTAAAAAGAATGAGGAAGCTCTACGTGTAATGATACGGAAAAAGCACCAAGATGTAGTAGTAAAAAGAAACCCAGCAAGATGTGAAGTAGCATGCTATCATTTGTGCTTAAAAAATACACACAGTCATGCACACAGATTCTCCCTAGAAGGACACACAGGAGCTGGGACAGTAGGCACCTTTCTGGACAAAAGCAGGACCACCGTGAAACAGAGGTAGAAGGGAGATTTCTTTTTCCATTTGTAACTTATGAATTTGTACTTGTGCTTCTAGTGCCTATTCAGAAATAAATGTGTAGATAGACAGATAGATGAAATGTAAAGTTTCTAGCAAAGATATCAGAATTGTAAGTGAAAGACTCTTCTTCCTGACATAAAAATCTGGTTTGGGAGATTCTGGGTTTACTTTGCAGTTGGAGAGGCTGAGGGGTCTTGGAGGGGTCCTGCTCTCCCTCACCACCTCCTGCACCATTCTGCACCCCATTCTGCTTCCTTCTTTTGGTTACTGTGATGTCTCTCTCTGCACGACGGCTACTGCCCAGCGGTCCCCAGAGCCCTCCTCTCTCCCTGTTGCCCATCTGCTTCCCAAGTGTTGCCGCCCCTGCTGCCGGCCATGGGGCCACTGAGCAGGCAGCATACCAAAAACAAGAGTCTGTGAGGCCCCAGGTCTTGGCAGTTCCAGGTGCAGCCTAGTTTTCAGTACAGGGCTTCAGCAGCACTCTATGTTCGCAGACCTAGCCTTAATCACAACAATCCCATTTCTACGATTTTATCCCATCAGATCCTCTAGTGAAACATACCCTACCTTCAAGTCACTTCTAAGCCTTTGTTGGTCAAGACTGTGGTTTTAAGAAACGGTGATCAGGGATTTTTTTTTAATGATAGTGGGGTCAAACTGCCCTCACCCATATCACCCTAAGGGAGTTTAGTGACATTTTTTATGCCTTAGCTTATACGAATTTAACTTGAAGGTAGACTCAAATAAAGGGTTTGTCACTGTAACTAGAAAGGAACACAGCTTCCTGGACTAAACCCTAGTGAGGCACTTGTTTTCACGTACCTGAGAGGCGGCTTAATCACTCATCTGAGATGCAACTTCATCATCATTCTACCGCGTATCTGCTCACTTGACTTGCATGTGCTGCTGCCTGAATACGTGCATTGAAGTGACGGGAGAAAGGAGTGCTCGGTTTTCCTTAAATTCACAGAGACTGTCTCTGGGAGGAATGATAGTTGACCCCATGTAAGAATTCTAATTCTGAAAAGTTGTGAAATCTGAGTCAGGTCATCATCAGACTAATGAGGTCTGGAAATTGACAAATATTGGACTGTTGCTAGGGATTGTCCACCTGTTTTTTATTTTTTTGTAGATTGTGTAACAGTGTGTGGCAGTGTCTTATTGAAACCAGCACTTCCTAGCTCATAATAAAAATGCTGTCCCCAGGGGCCGGCCCCATGGCTGAGTGGTTAAGTTCGCATGCTCTGCTTCAGTGGCCCAGGGTTTCGCCGGTTCAAATCCTGGGCACGGACATGGCACCGCTCATCAAGCCATGCTGAGGTGGCATCCCACATGCCACAACTAGAAGGAGCCACAACTAAAAATACACAACTATGTACTGGGGGTCTTTGGGGAGCAGAAGAAGAAGAAAAAAAAGAAGATTGGCAACAGATGTTAGCTCAGGTGCCAATCTTTAAAAAAAAAATAAAAATGCCGTCCCCAAATAGGTGAAGTCAGGCTTGGTTGGCATACGCATGACTATCTGTCTCACTGCTCTGAAATTCCTACTGAAAAGTTGTCAGGGCCCATAGCTGATGCTGGAGTTGGGTTGGAGATGGGAGAAGAAATAACCTGCCAAGGCCAGGTGAAGGTTGATCCTGTGTCCCAGCACGTTCTGCTGTTTCCGTTTCTATGGATACTTACAACTGTCACTCACTCCTCTGTCTCGCCCACCCACCTCTGAGCATCCTGCCCTGCCAGCAGGGACCCTTCAATAAACATTTGTTGAAAAAGGAGGATTGTTTTTGGGGTTTGGTTTTGTTTTTTTAGTTGACTCGTTTAGTCAGTATCTTGAAAGAGCCTTGTCTTCTTGTTTTAAAAAAACAAAGAACCGATTTCTTTATTTTCGTGATTTAAATGAGACCTGTAGTTTCACCTCCCTTGTCAGTGAGAGTTCAGCTTCACCGACAGTAACTTTAGAGTTACTGAGAGGCCCGGAGGAAGCCTGCCATTTCCCCTCCCACACTCTGCTCACCCAAACGCGGCCCGTCTCCGCCATTTGGATTCCACATAGTTTTCATCTGCTGCTGCTGAGACCTCCGAGGGAAGGGTTGCCTGCCAGAATAATCTCTCCCGTGTTCAGAATTCACTTGCTTGAGTTTCCATAGCATCTTTAAGTAAACAAAAACCTAAAATTGAATTGGCCCATAGATGAATTTCACTTCCTCTCTGAGACACTGCAGAATTAATCCCACATCCAACACCACATGCAAATGACCACTGTGAGCAGAAGGCTGATCTGGTGCTGTGGAAAAAAAGAAGTTCCCTGCTTTTAAGGAACTTAGTCCAGTAGTTGGATAAATAAGACATTTGGGAAAAAAGTGAACAGAGCAAGGCAGTAATTGATTAGGGGCCTCGTCGTTATACAGCCAGCAGCAGCATTGCCCAGACCACTTGGTTGGAAGGCTTTGTGGAGCCTGTGCCTTCAAGGAGAGAACCAGTGCTGGAGACTAAGCACAAGTGGAAGGCACAGTGGGGTGGAGACTGTCTAGAAAGAAGCCATTTTCACTTGAGCATACAGGTATGTGCTGTCATTAAATGACATTGCTGAGGGGGTTGATATAGAGGTGCACACTGTATCTTTTCAGTGCTAAGCTAGGGGCCCTGAAAGAGGACCACCACACGTGGTGAAGCTCCCAGTGCCCCACACTGCAGAAAGTGCCTGACCAGGAAGGGGCAAGGGGCAAGGACGGGCAGACTCTAGCCGAGCTCTGCTTCCTGTGCACCTTGGTGCTGGGCTGTTTCTGCCCAGAGCAAGGGGCACCTTGTCTCTGCCAGGCCATGTGTCAGTAGGGCTATGTCCCGAATGAGGGGCACCTTCTTATTTTTTTTTTAATTTTATTATTTATTTTTTTAATTGCAGTAACATTGGATTATAAGATTATATAGCTTTCGGATGTACATCATTATTATTTCGAGTTCTGTGTAAATTACATCATGTTGACCACCCAAAAACTAGTTATAGTGCATCCCCTTACATGTGAGCCTAATCACCCCTTTTGCCCTCCCCCCTTCTCCTGTGGTAACCACCAATCCAATCTCCAATGCTCTGTGTTTGTTTGTCGTTGTTGAGGGGCCCCTTCTTATGAATGCATCCTAGTGGAGTGGTCCTGGTACACAAAGGTGCTGTACAGGACAGCTACAGCTCTGCCCCCAAGTCTGAATCTGACCCCGCTTAAGATTCAGCAAATATTTGAAGGGATGCTGAGATGGATTATTGAAGTTCCACACACACTTCATCTCTCTACTTTAAGAGGGACACTCAAGTATATTTCTGCCTGATGGTTTTGAAGAATAGAAGTAATGTGTGTGTCTTGGGGGGTAGAAGGAAAAGGCAGAGACATGCTCGAAGGCCCCTTAACAGTTCTAAAATTCTCTGAGTCCATAAATTAAACATGATGCTAGATTTAAATAAAATCTTCTATTTTAAGTCAAAGCAGTGTTTTCCTGTTAACATTTGAAGGCCTTCTATGTACCCTTTGTCACATAATGCAGTTCAGTTGTGGACTGAGCCCTTTTAGTGTACATAAGTGTTTTCAGTGCTTTGAGAAGAATTGAAGAAGTAGCAGGTGGGGGCTCTGTCCTCGAATATTTATCTACTTAGGAAAAGATAAATGCTAATTACAAAGTGAGCATCAACCATTCGTAGGGATTATTAATTGGATACTTTGTCAGATACACTTGGTCTTGATTTTGACACTACACTAGGACCCCTAGTGTGGGCTGGAATTTTCATATGCTGTGAAAAGTGGTAAGCAAGCAACCACAAAGTTTAAATTAACCAATAACATTTCCTGCCTGAGCGGTCATTTGCAGGTGAAGATACCAAATGGGTGGTAAATTAGGATTAAAATTAGCTAAACTGTCATAGCGGTGCTATCTTATGTCTTCTTTGATGCTCAGCCACCGTGGAGTTCTCACATCCTTAGAAGCAGGTTTTTGCTGTGCAGGCTGACACCAGAGAAGGTCTGATCCATGGACAACAGCATGTATTCTCCCTTACCACGTCCCTTCCCCTGCTCCTTCCCACACTGGAAATGCTTTCCCCTGTTCCCGAGTTTGAGGGAGCTCACTTCTGCGTCCACCACCCTGGCTGGCCTCCGTTTGTTCTCTCCATTCCCTCTTTGACCAAGGTCATACATAAGCACGATAACAGGCTCTTGGAAAACTAGATCAGTTTTCCAAGAGCCTGTTATCGTGCTTATGTACTAACACCATCCTAGACCCTATGGTCAATAGAAAAATCAATAAGGATTCTCACCCCACCCTAGAGCTCTCACACTGAAGAGCTAATAAGGGGCTAAACGGACAGATGTATGGTTGGGGGGATGAGTGTATTGGGGAGGGGGGAGAGAGAGAGAGAAAGCAAGAAGGAGAATGTGTGTACACAAAGGCCTCCCTGATGGACAGACCTGAGGTTGAATACCAGCTCAGACGGTAGTTCTGTGAACTTGGGCAAGATAGTCAATATCTGAGAGCCTCAGGTGCCTCATCTGTGAGATAGGGGTAATAATTCCTGCCTAGGCTGTGCAGATTAGACACTGTAAATTGCTTAGAGACGTGGTTGGTTAAAATAGCAGCAGCCCAAAGTGGGACGTATGTAACTACAACAAAAGGTGATAGGTGACATAAAGGAAGTGCAAACAGAGGGCAGTGTGGCTTCCCAGCAGGAGGCCACACGTCAGCATGAGCATGAGCATACAGGTGTGCTCAGGGTACCTCCCAGCCGCCAGGTGACCTGCCGCCTTGCTCCTGGGTTGGCAGGGCAGAGCTGGGCAGTGCCCGGCCCACAGGGCGCAGAGCTGGGAGGCAGCAGGTTTCCGCAAAGTCATGCTGTTACCTGACCGTAAACCTGGACTTTTACCTGCTGGAGCAGGCGTGACCTGCAGCTAGTGTGCTTGAGGCGCCAGCCGAGAGGGGTTATTATAATGGAGATTTGGAGAGGGCACAGCTGTCCTAGTTGACTTCAGCCTGTTGGTGGAGACTGAAGATCATTCTGCCCCCCCAGAAAGCCAAGCAGCTGCTTCGCTTTTCCGTCCACCCCGCTCTGGATGTCTAAGGTGAAGCGTTTTTCTCTCTTCTCCAGCTCAGAGGCTGAGAATGGTGTGGAGGAGAAAAAGAAGGTCTGCAGGTCCCCAACAGCCCAGTCTCCTGCCCCGTGCAGCGAGGCCGAGTCCCCAGACCCGAAGAGGCTCATCTCCCTGTGGTGAGTCCACCCATTGACTCTCTGCTTGCTTTTTGACCTTTTGGGGAAGAGGGGCTGCTGAGAGGAGCTGGTGTTTCTAGTTTTAGGGTGGTTGTTAAAAGACTGAGAGTCTTCTGTAGGCAAACAAAGAAGGGGGGTGCTTTTCCTTGACCTCCAGGCACTGGCGCTCGCCGCTTTCTCTCATCTCTTCCCCTCATCTCTTCCCAGGAGCATCTTTTCTCCTTCCTGCCCCAGCCTTCTGTGGACTGTCTGCCCCTTTCTTAAAGCACTGATTTTGCTAACCAGTAAAGCCAGAGTGGCCCAGGCTCTGGCACAGATTTATAAAGCACCTGGAAAGGTTGGCCAGGTTGCTAATGAGGCCTGCCCGGGTTGGAGTGTCCGCTCAGCCTGTGGGTGTGCATAAGTGCGGTCACACTTATCTAGTAGCCATAAAAAAGAGCAGAGGGGAACACCATCTGGGATCTCCATGCAGGGTGTACACGTCTTAGGGGGTTGCCCGTTTCCTGGGGCCAGAGTCTGTCGGATCGTGGGGCTGTGAGGGGACAGCTGGTTTTAAGATGTGGAGCTGTGGTCCCCATCACTCTCAGAGGCACCAATTATGTGCCTTCTTTCACAAAGAAGGAAGAAATAGGCACTTAAAGTTGCTTTTCAGCCCTTAAAAGAAAATGGTTAAGCCAGTGGTCAATTTCAGGTCAATGTGGCCACTTATCCATCCAAGTGGAGGAGTGATTGCTCCCTCCCTATTATTAGAACTGTCAGAACTGCTATCTTCTATGCTTTTGGCCTCTGCTAAGGGATGATTAAATCCTGCTTTTCCCTTTCTTTCTGGCTACCCAGCCCATACCTTCTCTCCAAATCTATACTTCACTCAAGACCAAGTGTAAGTTTTCACTCTTCCCCCCAATTTTTCTTCCTATCACTCCCAATTATCTCTCCATCTTTTCTGCATGCCTGTTTTAACACATCTCACTTTTAACCATTCTTTCTAGAGCTGTTTCCTGTCAGAGCATCCTGCCTCACTCACCAAATGAGTCTCTCCGCAGAGGCACCAAGCATGTCGTTTCTTGTATTTTTCACCACTGCTGACTGGCTACTGCAGGCATTTTTAAAACACTGTTGGTTTTACTCCAACTTCCCCAGGCTTCAGAGAATAATACATTCATCATCAGGGCATGTGTGTTAAATTTCGTGGGCATGTGATCTGTGGATTTGCAAAGAGCCCATGCTTAGTTTAATGCTCTCCTCTTGCTGTCGGGAAGTTTTGAATAAGAGGCCCACATGTTCCTTTGCACTCAGCGTCCGGTCCTGCTCATCATCATCTGTAGGAAGTGAGAATAACATGGTTGAGAAGACCCAAAGAAATCAATACTGTGTAAATAGGCACCCCTCCCACTCCCACCACAGAGGCCAATACTATGCAGCAGCCCCTTCAGCTCTGCCTCTTAAAATTAGCAAGGGGGGAGCTGCCCTGCTTGTCACGTGTGCTTCCAGGCCATAGTTCTTCAAAAGGTCTAATCGTTGCCTTGGTGATTCCAGTAGCATTTATTAATTTGAATCAGTGGAGGTGATAAATTCAAATTAGTGGATGGTACAAATAATAGGTAAAGTTGACATTTGTAAAAATAATTTTATTTTCAAGTAGAGTATAGATGTTTTCTCATAATTTCAAAAAAAAAAAAAGTGATCCCTAGAATTCCAAAGGAATTTATATCCATGAATAGATTCATTGGCTGCTAGCTCAATCCGAATCTGTGTACCTTGAATTGCTGAGAGGTATTTCCACCTGTGGTTTGAGCATCACGCAGTTGAACTGTTGGGGCAGGACATGGCCTAGGACGTCACATAGTCCTTCTTTTCCCAGCTGAGAAAACCAGAGCCTAGTATCTCTCTAACGTCAGTCATTTCTGTCCCTCTGTCACACCCCATACCACTTGAATTGCTTAAGATTCTTCTTAAATCCACTTTGAACCAAATATTGTTTTAACTGAGCCTCATTCTAAGAAATCATATTGTAGAATCATGGATCTCATGAGCTATTTTCCTCCAATAAACAAAAAAAACCTACATAATTGTATCATCAAACTTGTTTGTATAAATACCTCTAAAAATCATACCCGCATTCCTCTTTGAAATGACTGTGTTCAGCTCTAGGTTTGCAGATATGTGCAGATTCACACGTCCACTGAAATGGAGAGCCAGGACTGGAACACCTTAGAGACAAGTCCTAGAGCTCTGACTTCTGCCTTGACAAGAACGAAGGAAGACTTGACTTCCAAACATGTTCGTCTTTTTTATCCTGACTTCACTTCTACCATTTTCCCACCCTGGGATGTTCTGTTTCTCTTTTCCTCAGATCCAACTCCTGTTCATCCTGTTAGGCCCAGTGTATTAAACCCACCTCATCCTATTGGTCTCTTCTCTTACCTCCTGTTGGACTTATTATCTCAACGCCTATGATATGTCTTGTTTGGCTGCTAAATCATGTGCTGCCTTTTTAAAAGATGTTTGATGCCTGCACAGACTCCTTAAGGACAAAGACTGTTTCCTGTGCCCCAGGGCATTTAACACTGTGCCCCACTCAATTAACACTTGTCAAATAGAATTCTAAAACAAAAATCTTCTTTGATTGAACTCTAGCTGCAGTTTTCTTGGGTAATTTGCCTCCAGTACTCCTCTATACACTGATTAAAATACTTTTGATACAATTACTTTCACAACTCGATTGTGACTTCTCCCTTCTGTAAGTTACCATGTCTGCAGTTTGAGATTACAGCCTGCTGAAATCCGCTAGTCTCCTCCAGCTCGGGCTGTGTAAATGCTCGTAGAGGCTTCTGAGTGATTCTTGATGTCTAGAAGAGAAAAACGAATGTCATGTTCTCTTGTGAGGTGGTATAATAATCAAGATTTATTATAATAAAATTAATGAGTAGCATAAAAAATTCATCTTATAGACTCCCTGGGCTTTCTTTCCTCAGGTCAAAATCCAGTTTTGACGGTGCCTCTTTAGCAAGTGACAAGAATGACTGTAAAACAGAAAGCAAAAATGACTCTAAATCTGAAAGGAAAAAGTCTTCATCTTCCAGCCAGGTAATCTGGGAATGAGACATGTGCTGTCTCAGAGGGTGACAGAAGCATTAAAGCCAATGGGAAGAAAGAACCCCAGTGGGTAGCTTCCTGCTAGTCAGGACTAACGTAGGTATAGATTGTAGAGAATCTAGAAGAAAGGACGGGCTACACTTCCTTCAGTTAATTTGATGCTGTATTTCACAGCTGACCTTCCAACACAGGCTGAGTGGTAGTGAGTCCTACACCGTGACACCAAACTCTGACAAGTGCCCAGAGAGCAAGGACCAGCACAGAGTCATGTGCCTGTCTAATAATTAGCCAGAACCAGGAGAGGTATAACATCCTTGCATTAAAAGTAAAGAGTCTGGGGGCCGGCCCAGTGGCGTAGTAGTCAAGTTCATGAGCTCTGCTTTGGCAGCCTGAGGGTTCGCAGGTTCAGATCCCAGGCAGAGACCTACATACCACTCATCAAGCCATGCTGTGGTGGTGTCCCACATACAAAATAGAGGAGGATTGGCATAGATGTTATCTCAGTGACAATCTTCCTCAAGCAAAAAGAAGAAGATTGGCACAGATGTTAGCTCAGGGCCAATCTTCTTCCTCCCTGCCAAAAAGAAAAGTCTGATAAGGCACGTGTGCGAATAGAAGGTGACCCACCTGTCCACAGAGGAGGAAAACCTGTGAACAGGGTCATGATTCTCATCCAGCAGTAATTTTGATTCTGATCTAAAATATACCCAGATAGGTAACAAAGCCCAGTTCTGTGTCAGAGTGTGACACACTTACTCAGTCAACAGTTTTAGGTGTTTTTTTTGGACGTCACCCCTAACTACTTAAATATGTATCTCCTAAGAACTAGAACAAAAAACTGTTGGCACACCCAAGAAATTTAACTGAATAGTAAATATACAAAAATATTATTAATATAAAATCCATTTTGGAATTTCCAGAATTGTCCCAATAGTAAATGTCCTTTATAAAGGTTTTTTCTTCCCCTTTCTCTAGAATCCAATCAAGAGCCATGTATTGCATTTATTTGTCATGTCGCTTTTAATTTAGATCAGTCCCAGTACATTTTTTGGCTTTTTGCCTTTTTTTTTTTTTTTTGAGGAAGATTAGCCCTGAGCTAACTGCTGCCAATCCTCCTCTTTTTGCTGAGGAAGACTGTCCCTGAGCTAACATCCATGCCCGTCTTCCTCTGCTTTATATGTGGGACGCCTACCACAGCATGGCATGCCAAGCGGTGCCATGTCCGCACCCGGGATCTGAACCTGCGAACTCCGGGCCGCTAAAGCAGATGTGTGAACTTAACTGCTGCGCCACCGGGCTGGCCCCTACATTCATATTTTTGAAGACTCTATGGCCTAAGACATTTTGAAATCAAGTGTGCACCCAGTGTTCATTGTAGCCATTAAAAACAAAATGTTAGTGAAGCCCGTATAGATCACCTAGCTTTAGTCTAGGTTACTCTCTGCATGTATAGTGTTCTCCCAGGAAGCTGCGTGAGGTAACCTACTTTATATGTGGTATTTATCTATAAAATAGTGACTTGCAGGACAATCTGTTGTCTGCATAGCTGCATAAAGTTCTTTTTTATGGCAATACTAGGGCCAGTTCTGCCATTGAGACCACTCCTACTTTGGATAAGAAAGCATCGAGGGCCTCCTTGTAGATCTCTCTGTTCTGTTCATAAGACTTTTTCATCAAAACATCCTATCAGGCAGAGTGGTCCTGTGGAAGGAGGACACAGCTGTTCCTCTTAGTAGCTGTGTGGTACCAGTTCAGTCGCTCAGTATCCCTGAGGCACAGTGTCCTGACTCATGGAATGGGGACATCAGTTCCCAGGTTATTGTGGGGATGGTGTTTGTGAAAGCATTTGACAAACTGTAAATTGCTGTCTATATAATGTTGTTGTCACAGTCGTGGAAACAGATGTGTTGAAAGTGAAGTGATGGAGCATTTCAGACTCTTGGGGGGTCTGCCGCCCTGGAGAGTTAGGTCTTTTGTGTGAAATCCTCCTTGTCATCTCCCCACCCCCAACACTAGCTAAGGAAATGCCTTCACGACAATGATAGTGTTAGTGACAATACCAGATAGTAGGTCCCTTAGATGTACTATCCCATTTAAGCCTTATGGCATCCTTCTGAGACAGTTACTGTTTTTGCGTCTGGCACAGAAGAAGAAACTGAGGCCAGAGAAATTAAGTGACTCGGCCACCATCATATACCAAAGGAGAGGTGCAGCCAAGACGTAGACTTAGGTTTATCTGACTACAAAGCCTTTAGCCCTTGCCCTCTGCTAAGAGTGCTCACTTTTCTTTAATGTCCTGGGATCCGCTGCCTTCCCTGGTGAGGTTCCTTAGAATCTACTCATTTCTTATTAAGCACATCCTTGTCCGGCCTCCTTGGCAGCAGGCTGACCACGAGCCGCATCATGATTGTAGATGCATGTCCAACCAACAGGTCACTAATCTTCTTGGAAAGTGAAACCTTTGTGCCCTGCCTTCCACTGTTTTTTTCACTGAAGTGTTGTCTTGGAGACTATAGATCAGGGAGGAGGAATCTCTAAGGTTGCTATATTAGGGGAGGGAAAATTTGTTATGTAATTTAAATTGAAGTTAAAATTTGTTGATGTTTCACAAAAAAGCGAGAGCAGTAATCCCTATGTTTTGTTCTCATTATAGTACAAGGCAAATATGCACTTTCACAAGCTGTTTCTTGATGTCCCAACTGAGGAACCACTGAGGCAAAGTAAGTTGTGACCTGTTTGACCTCCTAGCTACATATTTGAAAAGATGCGAATTGGTTTGGCGGAAGAGAGAGGGCACGGTCTCGGGGCTGAATCACCAAGGGGAATAGGTTTCTGAAAGTCATGGTGTAACAATCATGCCAGCTTCATTCAGCTTTCACCAAGCACCTTGAAAGATATGAGAGTAGAATGGGAAACTGAATCTTTCCATGATATGGAATCATCCAAGAGGATCACAGAATGCTATCCTTGCCTTCCACATTCACTGCCAAGATGCATTGTGATTGGACTGTCATGAGTTTTAGGATAACAGGACTGGAGTAAGAGAGGCCGCTAGAAGGATGCTAAAAGGCAACCTAGATTTAAGTGCACAGACAAGTGTTGATGCCGGTTCTGTGCAGGGCATGATAATCACACCTAAACATCTTGCCTCGCACACCAGTTAAGCACCTACCCTGCTCCTCTGTGGTTCATCAAGGGGCCCAGGGTTCCATGCTAGCCTCCCTCAGATGCTGGATTCCCACCGTGCTCTCCAGACAGGAAGTCTGCTCCTCCTGCAGTGGGAAGAGGAGTTGTTAGTGATATTCCCAGGGAAGGAGGGCGGGGTGCTAACATTAGCACTAGGGTGACACACCTTCCTAAATAGAGGAGATGTTTGCAACACCATTCTTGATCTTTCATTTGCAATGATAGACTTGCCTTTCCATTTTTATTTTTATACTAAAGCTTGTAAGACTTTGAATTAAAAAACAAACTCTCGTCTCTGTAGCTTTATCCCACTAAAGATGACTGAAAAAGAGGGGATAGATCTTTTGAGTATGTGAGTGTATTATCGCTGCCCGTCCCTGAGTCACCAACATATATACACAGTTTTCAATGGTGGAAATTCTCAATGGTGTCATACCTGTACATATTTTCTCAGGTTTTACCTGTGCTCTACAGAAAGAAATACTGTACCAAGGGAAGCTCTTTGTATCAGAAAACTGGATTTGTTTTCATTCCAAGGTGTTTGGAAAAGACACTAAGGTTGGTATAATTTTTTTAAAGGAAAGCTAACCCTGCTCTTTGTTATATATTGTGAACATTAATTGTTTTAAATATAGCAATATTTATAAATATTGCTATTAATATTTATATTATATTAATTATATTTATTATAATATTTATAAATATAAATAAAGGTGTATTTATTATACCTTTATACCAAGTTTCCTTTACTGTAGTTCTAAAGATTACGGGTTCTAAATGCCTCTAGATGACGCCAACTTTTCTCTTCCCCTAAACACCACTCTCATTCATTTCCTTATATACATGTATTTTTCCTACAACTCTATCGTAAATTCTTTTTACCCAGATGTCACCAGCAAACTCTCAAAGTTGTTCATATGAAGAGTGTGCCATGATTTGTTCAAAGACATATATTAAACCCAAAACAATTTTTTTAAACCCAAACCAATCTTTGCACCATATTCATACCAGTTACCATCAGAGACGTCTAGGCAAACAGGCCTGTAAATGAGGTATTTATTAGAGCTTACTTGGTATCATCACCAGCACAAAATGAGCAGGAACTGGAGTGTCTAAAGCCTAAGTCTGGCAGAGTCTCATACCCACAATCCCCGGTGGACGCTGACTGACGTTTTTTCATTCTCATTAAACACAGATTTGGGGGAGCTGTGACCCCTGGGCCATTAAGGAGAATAGCCTGAAGGAAGTGGCATTTTTCCCAAGGCACCGCCTTAAACAAGGACCTTGAGACTGTGTCATAAGGGAAAAGATAATTTCCTCCTGTTGACATTCTTTCCCTTTGAGCTGTAATGTCACATCATACAAATTCATTCAGGCCACCAGAATAAGGCGTCAGAGAAACACCTTAGATTTGCGTGACATGAATGAGCCTTCAGTCATTCTGATTCATGATTATGAATAAGCAGCCTTTATACTCATGAAGTAGCTCATTAAAAACTTTTGTTTTGACTGGTAGATAAGTTTTATTTAAATATTCTCCCGAAAGCCACTGGTAATCTTAACAAACATAATGGAAATTCTTTATTTTGTTGGTGTTTGGTCAGCAGACTAGTATATTATTCTTTTGGTCAAACATGTTGTTTTTATATTATTCCTTTATTATATAGAGTTATGTTTAGATAAACGTTTTAGATTCACAGTATTATCTGGATCAGTATAATGCAAAGCAAGATTAAGCAATATTTCACCATATTTCTAGATTTCTGGATTCTAAGAACTTGCTTATGGAGTGGGGAAGGGGATTGGGAAGTACTGATCTCCAGTTCAATGTGACAAAGATAATTCTGAGGAATACAGAGAGAGCCAGCACCTCAAAGCAGCAGGGGTTGAAGACATTAATGAGCAAATAATTAAAGAAGTAGTCTTTGTTAAGGGATGGGGGAATTCACAAAGCCAGTAAGTACAGTTTCAAGTTAATATGATTCTAGCAATGGTTTCAAAATCGTACTTCTACCTAAGAGAGAACTGACAAAGAAAAGGTAAAAGGAGTGGCCCTGGTTTTTTAAAGACATAATACACTGGAATTGCTTTTGCATGTGCTGTATCTAATCCAAGAGACAAGAGATGGAAAATTAGCAGGGGGTGGGAACATAAGATTATAATAGTGACATGTACGTTTCTTCCCTACCAAGGATGGTGTCAAGGAGATTTGGGCTTCAGCTCTGTGGCAGAACGTCCTCACTGCCAACAGACCTTGGTCCCGCAGGATCCAATGTCAACAAAGGCAACCAAACAGTCTGCTCTAGGAGGGAGAATTTTCTAAGCATCCTAGCCTGAAAAAAAACATTAATAAAGTGCAGCCTTAATTTAATCAGGTCATTTTAGTCAGCCCGTCGCTATTCTCAGATGCTAGTAAAATTAAGTGCATGTATCACATTCCATCAAGGCTCAAACTGAAAAGTGATTTATGCTTTATTTCTCAAATAGCATTGTTGTCATTTTACACTCATGAAGCAATTGATTGAAAACTCCTTCTTACGGATGTTCCATGCTTTAGATTATGCAAAAATCCAAATTTATAGCCCCTTGTCACTGTGTGTTTGTGTTGTTGCTCAGAAACAAAATTAGACTCGTTTTTATATCATCATCTATCTTGATAGATAGATGATGTAAATTCTTTTTTTCCAAAGTTATCCCAACTTATAACTTCTGAATTATCTCCCACACTTCAAAAGTTTTGTGGGAAACTATCTTTGGCAAAACAGTTTTTCGAAAATGTCTCATTCAGATTAGCCCCTTATTCTTGCACAGTCTTCCTATCTGGAACTTTGAGAGGCAATAGAACAACTTTATCTCATAAACATAAATATGGATGGAAATATTCAGAATTAAAAGCTCGCTGTTCTTCCTTCAAGCTGGCAGTTCTAATAGAAAGGCCCTCATCTTCCCCACTGACCTTGTTGATCTCTTTCAGAATATGTGAAGCATTTTTACAAAATAGATGTTTGAGTGAGTGTGTGTACCTATGGAGGGAGTCAGGTCATTTTTTTTTTTTTACTGTGTGTGATTGTTTCTAGGGATCAAAGTGATGTGATCCATTTTTCTTTGAGAACAAACCTGGTTGGAGGGATATAACATGAAAGTATCAGGAACAACTACTATTCTCTGTGGCATCTGATACATTCTTGTAGTACGTTGTATGAAAAAGAACCTGCATTTTGGGTCAGATTGGTTCACGTTCCATCTTGTAACATTATATTTATGACCTTGCACAAGTCATACACCCCTCTAAACAAATGTCCTTGCCTCTTAGAATACCTACTTTATAGGATTGTCATAATTCAATGACATTCTCATCTGGCAAATAGGAACCAATGATAGTAGCTGCTACATTTGTCATTGTGGTTGTTTTCTATTGTTTGAACCAGAAAGAAACTTAAAGTTCTTTTATTTCACCCATCCTTTTCTTTTTATGTATATATATATATTTAACTTTATTTTTTTCACGTTCATTGTAATATATTTTTAATTCTGTGTAGATTACATCATATTCACCAAACACAGTCTTATTATAATCATCACTACACATGTGTGCCTAATCACCCCTTTCACCTCTCCTTTTTTTATGAGACAAATGAGGAAATGAATGACATTTTAAACAAGTGCTAGGCATTTTCCATATATTTTCTCATTTAATCCACAGAAAATCCTGGGACGTGGGTAAGACTATCTCCATTTTACAAATCAGGAAACTGAGGCCTAGAAAGGATAGTTTGTCAGGTTGAGTAGGTCATGTAGATGGTAACAGAACTGAGCCGAGAATTCAGGGCCCAGACTTTCTGTCCACTATTGGTTCTACCACACTGGTGCTTTTCAACATTCTCCCCACCCACAGGCACCTGTGGTCAGAGGATAGTGGGGTACATGGGGACCAGCCTCAAGTGGATGACCACAAACTCAGAACTTATTTAGAGCCTTGGGCTTATCTGTAAAATGATTGTAAATTTTGCATTCTATTCTCAAGTCTAAGGATACAGATTTCCCAGCAAGCCCTTCAGTAGAATTGATGATCCAGATTAGTCCTATGGCTTTGTAAACACCACTTTGAGGAGGCCAGGGACACTCCCATGCCACTCTGTAAGATTTTATTTTCTTCAAGGACGCTGGAGAGCTTGCTGGTGGTTTTGATTTCGTTGTCAGTCTTTTTTTTTTAATTTTTCATTTAACATGAAGATTTGAAGCGCTGTTCTGTGAAGCCTGAACCAGTGTTAACTCGGTGATTCTGTTTCAGATCTCTATTCCGGCTTTCTCGGTAACGCTAATAAAGAAAACCAAAACTGCTCTTCTGGTGCCAAATGCCCTGATTATAGCAACAGTCACAGACAGGGTGAGTACATAGTGGAGCGGGGGCACCTGTACTCTGTTCCACCCTGGGCTCTGTTGTCTTGGGGCCAAGACAAGGACCAAGAGCCTGAACCATAAATATCGTAATCTCCTATGGTGAATCAGGAGATGTGCTCTAAGACTAATTGGTAAAATCACAGCCTGTGGAGTGTTGTTTCCCCTCACAAGCTGATTTATTCTCATAACTGTTGCCAATTTTGAATTTCCTGCTGATTTAATTACACTTGCTTGACCAAGGTCAAAAGATAAAATTCTTTCCCTAACATCTGTTAGGTCAGGCTAAACTGATATATTCAGTTTCTTCAATAATATTTGAAACCACCACCACTGCCACCACCTTGTTGACAGGGTGAGGCAGGGTGACAGTGAGGTGCCCCTGGGGTGGCATGGCCAGCCTCCCCATAACCTCAGTTGGTACCTCTCCATTGCCATCCCCAATACATCAAGCTCGTGCTTGCTATGCGAGTGCAGCTTCAGGACGGGTTTCCAGCCCGTCTTTGCTTCCAGGTTGCCTTAACTCTCCCTTTTCTACACAGAAACGCTCAAGCTGTTGTTGACTTTGGGCTACCCCAGCCATGTGCAACCGGAAATATTTGCATTGAGAGTAGTGTGTATTTTAGCTTGGCAAGAGAGGGGAAACATAATAGTTTGGTTACTCATTTTTCACGTGAAATTATTGTTTTAATATTTTACCTACTATTTCTATGAAAGCCTAAAAACAACATCCATTTCTAACCATACTGGATAACTTGAAGAGGGAAGAAGGGAGAAAGAAAGATAAAAGAGGCTATTCTGATGAGCTAGGAAATATGTTAATAGCTATTTTTGAGAATTTCTTTTTAAATACTAGTGGCTAACAAGCTTCACTTACTGCTTGCCAGGCATACGCTGAATGCTTTCCTTGTATTTTCACATTTATTCCACACTACCACCCTATCGTTAAGAAAACTTGGGGCTGGCCCTGTGGCTAAGTGGTTAAATTCATGAGCTCCACTTTGGCGGCTCAGGGTTTCGCTGGTTCGGATCCTAGGCGCGGACATGGCACTGCTCATCAGGCCATGCTGAGGTGGCGTCCCACATGCCACAACAAGAAGGACCCACAACTAAAATATACAACTATGTACTGGAGTGCTTTGGGGAGAAAGGAAAGAAAAAGAAAAAGAAAACTGAAGCTAAGAGGGATTAAGTAAGCAGTTTGCTCAACGTCAGCCACTTAATAAGTGTTAAAGCCAAAATTTGCAACTGGGTCTGTCTAAAGCCAGACCCCACAATGTTAGCTACTTTGGAATACAATACTTGCTTGGAAATTATATCAAGTTCTCTCATGGGTGAGTGAGAGGGGTAATCACAAACTTTGGAAAGGGGATCTAGAAAGATTCTGTGGCTAAAATAGATGCAGAAAGAGTGAGTTTTTGTTTTTTCACAATGTACTGTTTTTGGTACAATCATTTTTCCTTATGTCATTTGTCTCCAAATTACTTGACTAGCTCTGATTTTACTCCTTTCCCATAGCTTACTTATAAGAATCCATTAGAAAATCTCCATATTTGTACAAGGAATAATCTGGAAGCGGTTTGAAAAAGAATGAGCCTGTTAGAGCTGCTGGGAAAGTTTCAATGGAAATCTAGGTCAGGGCAGAGAAAGTGGACCCTCGGGAATTGTTAAATACCTTTTTAAAAAAGGAGAGAGAGAGACTTTAAAGAGGACCTAGCAAATATCATTAGCCTCTTTTTAATGTCCAGGCCTTTTCCTGTCTGTTCTTGTTTGGGGCACCGATGTCAGGGTGTTGCAGCCTTGGTTTTGTTCTGCATTTCTTTATTAAATTGAGTTTGGGGGTTTTGTTGCTATTGTGCGGGAATATATTAGCTTTACTCCAGGCATGGAATAAAACTGAATGTGTGGATGAGCAGAATGAGAATATAGACCAGAGAACAGTCTATATTGTTTGAAAATGACAAAAACATATACAGACAAATTTTTGAGCTCTGAGCCCTCGCTTCTCATCAGGCGGTATCTGTTCATAATTTCATGTTTGTTTTTCAGTACATATTTGTCTCCTTACTCTCCAGAGATTCAACTTACAAACTACTAAAATCCGTATGTGGACACTTAGAAGTGAGTACAACATCCCTGAGCCTCCGTTGCTGTCTCTCCTCTGTATTTCTTACGGTTTCATAGTTGATCTGGTTTTTCATTTTGTTTTAATAATTTCAGAATACGAGTGTTGGTAACAGTCCCAGTCCGTCTTCTCTTGTAAACAGTTTCGGGGCAGATCGTCCTTCATCTTTGCCTCTGGTGAGTTCCCTATGTAACTATCTAAATGCAAAAGAAAGAGACTATGTCCCACAATTACACTTCTCCTTACACCATGACCAGGGTGCAGGGGGAACTTAGGACCATAATATTTGAGGCAAAGTTGAAAAAAACAGGGCATTTCTGTCCTGAAGAAGTGGGGACCGTAGGAGGCCATAAATTTTTTTCAAGTAATTGAAGAATTGCCCTGCAAAAGAAAAGAAACATCGTGGGCTATCTTGGCAAGTTTACTGGTTGCCGAAGGTATTGATAGTTTTGCCGCATTTGCTTGTCAATGTTGTTTTAGAGGGATTCACAGTCTACTTGGGGTAGGGCATGATTCATCCCACAAATCGTTGAATGTCTTCTACGTTCAATGCGCTATGCTAGTGTACCCTTTAAGAACATCAGGAAAAATCAAAACTAGTTCTTGCCTTCACAGACTTTATAGCTTAGTAGAGAAGATGAGGAATACCCAGAAATAACTGTAAAGAAAGTTATAATGCCCAGGTGAAAGATAGAGATTCTTTGATTCCTTTAGGTGTTGTTGACTGCAGAGTAAATCGCCACTGGGAAGTAGCTGCCCCCATTTGTACACTATTTGTACCTATAATGGTAGAATGTTGGCCTGAGAGAGTTCTAGGCAGATTATTCGAGTAATTATTCCTAAATTGATTATTATTAAATAGTGAAAGGCCTTTGGCGAAGCACTGTGAACCCATGGTTTCAACATCTACAGATCTTTTTTTGAGAACTGTTAGAAGGTAGAGGGATTAAAAACATATTCACACAAAAACTTGTACAAGAATGTTCATAGCTGCATTATTCATAGCAGCCAAAAAGTGGAAACAACCATCAACTGGTGAATGGATAAATAAAATGGAATATATCCATACAATGGAATATTATTTGACCATAAAAAGGGAGAAGTACTGATACATACACAACATGGATGAATCTTAAAAACATGCTAACTGAAAGAAGCCAGACACAAAAGGCCACATATTGTTTGATGCCATTTATATCAAATGTCCCAAGAAGACAAATCCATAGGGACAGAAAGTAGATTAGTGGTTGCCAAAGGATGGGGGAGGGAGAAATTGGGAGTGACTGCTAATGGGTAAAGGGTTTCTTTCTGGGGGTGATGGAAATGTTCTGAAATAAAACAGTGATGGTTGCACAATATTGTGGTTATTCTAAAAACTACTAAATTGTATGCTTACAATGGTGAATTTTATGTTGTGTGAATTTTATCTCAATTTAAGAAAAATCTACCTTAAACAAAAGGTAGTTGGGGGCCAGCCCCGTGGCCGAGTGGTTAAGTTTGCGCACTCCACTTTGGCGGCCGGGGGTTTTGCTGGTTTGGATCCTGGGCGCAGACATGGCACCACTCGTCAGGCCATGCTGAGGTGACGTCCCACGTGCCACAACTAGAAGGACCTACAACTAAAATATACAGCTATGTATGAGGGGGGTTGGGGGAGAAAAAGCAGGAAAAAAAAAAAAAAAAGGTTGGCAACAGTTGTTATCTCAGGTGCCAGTCTTTAAAAAAAAAAAAAAAAAAAAAAAAAAAAAAAAGTGGTGCGAATAGTACAAAGTAGAATGAAACAGGGCTGGCCCCGTGGCCGAGTGGTTAAGTTCGTGCGCTCCGCTGCAGGCGGCCCAGTGTTTCGTCGGTTCGAATCCTGGGCGCGGACATGGCACTGCTCGTCAGACCACGCTGAGGCAGCGTCCCACATGCCACAACTAGAGGAACCCACAACGGAGAATACACAACTATGTACCGGGGGGCTTTGGGGAGAAAAAGGAAAAAATAAAATCTTTAAAAAAAAAAAAAAAAAAAAAAAAAAAAAAGTAGAATGAAACAGATATGCTTTGGAATCCAACAAACCTGGTTTCAAATCTGGTTCCACCCAGCTGAACTATGTCGTGGGAGAAGCTGTAACTGCTATCACTCGGTGTCTTCATCCAGTAAAATGCCAGCCTCACAAGGTGGCTGTGAAGATTAAGTGCGATCCTGTGTGTGAGGAGCTTTGCATACTGCCTGATACATGATAGGCATTCAATAAAGAATTATTAAGTCAAAGAGACTTGAATTTTTCAATTTTCCTTCCCCTATAAATTCTTGCATGAAACTGAAATGAGTGTTGAAGTGACCAAAAGACAGCTAGCTTAAGGTGAAAGATTGGTAATTTGCTTACAAGACAAGCCTCTTCATTTGGCAGCTAACTAAATTGTGAGAAGCTCAGCCTAATTGGACCTTTGCCTGGGCATTTTAATGACACCTCTTGTCTCTTCAGTTCTTAAGCACTTTGGGAGAACAAGTGGGATACAAAATAAAACATCCCAGCTTTTTCCCTAATTCTCACTCCTATCCTCCTTCTGTAATTTAAATGTTTTATCACTGACCCTATTTTGATTTGGTCGAGGGAAGGAAAAAAGCCAAAACTTTCCCTTCAGTGTCTCATTTGCCAAACCCATTTTCCCTTTTCTGTTTCCAATACCTTTTTTTAAACTATAATGTAAGAATACCTTCCTCTCTGCATTTAGAACTTTCTATCTACTTTTTTCTCTCACATGGGTCCAATTTCAGTCACTTTTTCTAATTACGAAGTGATAACGATGAGGCTTCTCCAGCTTTACCCTGGAAGCTTTTCAATCATCAGCATTCCAGTTTTTTTCTAGATGTTCGTTGTTTCAAACAAGTTGGCCACTGTTGAAAGAATTCTAGCTGCCCAGAAAAATGTGTTTCAATAACCAGATACTGTGTGATCTGCTGGGAAAATCCCAGAAGTGTGGGGTAATCCTTCCTCCTTCTCCATATTTTATAGATCAGGCCTGAGCGAAAGGGCAGGGGGTAACAAGGCCTGCCTGTTTAATAAGGGAAAATTGACCTCTCTTCATTTCATGATTTCCCTTCAGGATTTCAACGATGAATTCTCAGACCTGGATGGAGTGGTTCGACATCGACAGCAAGACATGGAAGGATACAGCAGTTCTGGTTCTCAGACTCCTGAATCTGAGAACTCTCGAGGTCTGGGAAATTTTTGTATCTGTACTAAAATTTCATTTTCCACAAAATATCCTTATCCCTCAAAACAACAACAACAACAACAAAAAACCCCACCTTGTCTTCCTAGTTAACAATTAAGAAGGGACTCTGAAGAAAGGGTAGTTTGAAAGTTCAAGGAAAGGGAATTACGTACGTGGTGAAAATCCATTTCCCTTTATACGCATTTAACAAATGTCTCTTAAATAGGCGTAATATTGGGGTGGATAAAAGAGAGAAACATGTAATATTTTCTTACTTCTTCTTTCAGTAATATTATTCATTGTTATAGCTCAATTGTCCCCATGAGTCAGTGGGCTAAGGACAGACTGTCCTTATAGCATTTTATTAGTTATTTGCTTGAGCACTGGATTTCAATCCCTGACCACTCAACCAGCTTGGGGGACGATCCATGTATATTCTTGGACATTAGGCCTATTAAGGGATTGGTTTGCTTTGGTGACTCCTATGTTTTTAAATGCAGTGGGGAGAAAACTTACCCAGTCCTGTTGTGGCTTGATAGATTTCCACGTGACAGAATCCCAGACGGTGCTGAATGTCTCCAAGGGAGAAGCAAAACCAGCCCGGGCGGATGCCCACGTGAACAGAGTGCCGGAAGGAAAAGCCAAGAGTCTCCCGGCACATGGTAACAAATGGACTATTTTACATCTGTTCGTAACTTTTTAAGGATCCTCGCGTTTCACTTTATGACTGCCTTTCATGTTCCCTCCCCTTCCTTTCTGCAGTAGGTCTTTGCATATTAATTCATTTAGTCATTCATCAAACAGTACCCAGTTCTCTCCTTTACTGTGGGGGATAGAAAGGTGAATAGCCTTCATGGAGGTCCCTTCATTATTCAGACTACTTTGAGATTATGATTCAAAAATTACCAGTGGAGGTCATTATTTAATTATATCTTATTTACTAATCTAATAACTGGTATGAGATCAAGGTAGGTGTCTGTATTGTTCACCATTCAGTCCTTCGCAGTGCTTGACACAGAGAAGGCTCTCAGCAAATACATATTGAATGAAACATGTTGGAAGGAATTGTAGCTGCAACCTGAAGACTTCATTTGGTATTTTGTCTGACTTATATTACCTGGGAATAATTCTCTCTCTCAAGTACTTCTTCTCCATAGGAATATTGCTGGATGAAGGAGGTGTGTTGTGGTTTCAAAAGAGTCACTTTTTGTTTTCCACCCAACAGGTCAGTCAGAAACCATTGGAATTGTAAACAAAGTAAAGTCTCAGAAATATCCGACTCTCCACCATATTCTTATATTCTATGCAATTGTGTAAGTAAATGAATTTACTATGAGAGACTTAAGAAAATGACTCAGTTCACCAAAGGAATGATGTCTTCGTGTTGCAAAGAGGCACTGTAAATCTGAGTGGTCTCTAATGTAACCCAAGTCTTTTCTTTGACAATTTTTGTCTCCTACTTCAACGTTTTTTTCTTAGACTTAGTTTATATTTTCACATTCATCCCCTTCTTATTTAAATAAATAGTGAGAAGGGACGAAGGAAAAGCAAACTGTGCCAGATCTAGCAGAGGACTAAGTTCTGAGTGGATACTCTTACTTGGGAAATTGTTCTGTGAATTTGAAGCATCTTTGTCCTTGTTTATTTTTCCATCTCTCCCATGTTCTCTGGATAGAGACCAAAACAACTTTAAAATGTCATCTCCTTTGCTGAAAACTTAGGCATTGACTTTTTTAACTCCTCCCCTCAGCTTCCAGTCTGTAACCAGTTATTCTTCTGAAAATAGCCTGACCCAGTTCTAGGCTGTTCCTCACAACCAAGGAGGATGTGCCCAGTTTGGTTTCCAGATAAAGCAGGGAATTTGTGAGTCACCAGAGAACAAGACTGGACGCTCCCTGGCAAGGCCCTTCTAACCAGGGAGACAGTAGCTCGTGGGAGGAGAAGCACTGGCTTGGTAATCTACCTTGGCTGGCCTTGAGTGATCCTATTAGAATGGCCATTGTTTGTAAATTGAGGGACTTGGGCTAGAGGACTTTAAATATCCTTCCAGTTCTAAAGTTTTGTGACAAGCATCAGCCTGTTGAAAAAAACACTTTCTAAAGTCTCTTGAACCAAGTTATTTTGGAAAATACCTTGCCTCATACGTACAGCATTGCCTCTGAGTTTATTTATGAACATCCGGTCCTGGCTATTAACCCACTGAGAATTTCTCTTTTATCCCTTTCCAGTGTCTGTGCACTAATCATCTCGACCTTCTACATGAGATACAGAATTAATACTCTGGAGGAGCGGCTGGGGTCACTAACCTCCGTCGTGGACACCCATCATACTGAGTAAGACAGTTCCCTCCAGTGCTATCATCTGCTTGCTCTTCAGATTAGTATGTTTGACCTGAGCTTAGCATCCTTCGTAGCAAACGTTAATTGAGGACACATTCTGGATGAGAAATTTTGTTAAGTGTCTATATGGGAAGGAAAGAGGAGGAAAGTCCTAGAACTGAATGACCTGACTCTGCACCTTCTTGAGTTGCTATAGTGTCACCAGGGATAAGGCAAGAAACAAGCCTAATTTTACATTGTCTTGTTCTGTTATCCTAAGACCCAGTTATGACCTTGGCCCATTTAATAAAATATTCAAGTTTATCTTTGTATAATGGTAGTGAGTCAAGACATTCATAGAAAAGAAGCAATTAAAATAAATTGGCACATTTCATTATGTATAACTCTTTAAATTAATTCATTTATTTACAAAACTCCTGACAACTATAAAGATCCATATGACTAGTAATTAGTTGAATGTGTCTGTGATTTTCCATCATTGTCATTTTTAACATACCTGACCTATTGAAATCTATTGATATAGACGTCTTTCCTTTAAACCTATTTACGTGAAGATTTTGACACATTGCCTGAAAAGTAAAATAAAATAAATTATTCCATGTTAAAAGCATACTTTTAGCCCAAGTTTTAAAGATTTTCTTTTTTCTTTTTTTTCTTCAAAGCCCCCAGTACATAATTGTATATTCTAGTTGCAGGTCCTTCTAGTTGTGGCATGTGGGACGCCACCTCGACATGGCCTGATGAGCGGTGCCATGTCCACGCCCATGATCCGAACTGGCAAAACCCTGGGCCTCGGCAGCAGAGCATGCAAACTTAACCACTCGGCCACGGGGCCAGCCCCCTAGCCCAAGTTTTAAAAGTAGAGATATTCCTTTACAGAGTACATACCACATGCTAGAGACTCTACTAGAATAGATACATACATGCACAAATACAAACAATTTTCTGTCATTGTATCTTCACCATAACCTTATAAGTTGGCTATTATTCCTGTTTTACAGATGAGAAAACTGAGACTCAGAGAAATAATTAGCTTAATGTCTTACAGTTTGTAACAGATTCAGGATTCAAATGCAGGTCTACATGACTACAAAGACCAAAGGCTTCCCATTCTACCAGTGATTCCCTTGGTTGTGAGGAAAAGCCTGGAATTGGGTCAGGCTATTTTCAGTGTGCATCGGAATCATCTGGAAGGCTTGTTAACACAGACTGTGGGCCCATCCCCAGAGGTTCTGACACTATAGATCTGGAGTAGGGCCTGAGAATTTGCATTTCTATCAGTTGCCCAGGTGATGGTGGTGGTGTTGGCCTGAGGTCCACACTTTGAGAACTATTCTGCTATACCATTCTAGGGCCTTTCTTTGTGCTCTAACAACTACCTAAAAGTCTTATTCTGTGGACCGAATATAGCAATATATCAAAAAGATTATACACCATGATCAAGTGGGATTTATACCAGGGACACAGGGATGGTTCAACATCCGCAAGTCAATCAACGTGATTCACTACATTAACAATATGAGAAACAAAAACCACATGATCATCTCAATAGATGCAGAGAAAGCATTCGACAAGATCCAACATCCATTTATGATAAAAACCCTCAATAAAATAGGTGTAGAAGGAAAGTACCTCAACATAATACAGGCCATATATGACAAACCCACAGCCAAGATCATACTCAATGGACAAAAACTGAAACCCATCCCTCTCAGAACAGGAACAAGACAAGGGTGCCCACTTTCACCACTCCTATTCAACATAGTACTGGAGGTGTTGGCCAGAGCTATTCGGCAGGAAAAAGAAATAAAAGGAATCCAAATAGGCAACGAAGAAGTAAAACTCTCGCTGTTTGCAGACGATATGATCTTATATATAGAAAACCCCAAAGAATCCATACAAAAACTATTAGAAACAATCAACAACTACAGCAAAGTTGCACGGTATAAAATCAACATACATAAATCAGTAGCATTTCTATATGCTAACAATGAACTAACAGAAAAAGATCTCAAGAACTCAATCCCATTCACGATAGCAACAAAAAGAATAAAATACCTTGGGATAAATTTAACCAAGGAAGTGAAAGATCTATACAACGAAAACTACAAGACCTTCTTGAAAGAAATTGACGACGACATAAAGAGATGGAAAGACATTCCATGCACATGGATTGGAAGAATAAACATAGTTAAAATGTCCATACTACCTAAAGCAATATACAGATTCAACTCTATCCCAATCAGAATTCCAATGTCATTCTTTACAGAAATCGAACAAAGAATCCAAAAATTCATATGGGGGAACAAAAGACCCCGAATTGCTAAAGCAATCCTGAGAAAGAAGAACAAAGCTGGAGGCATCACAATCCCTGACTTCAAAACATACTACAAAGCCACAGTAATCAAAACAGCATGGTACTGGTACAAAAACAGATGCACAGATCAATGGAACAGAATTGAAAGCCCAGAAATAAAACCACACATCTATGGACAGCTAATCTTTGACAAAGGAGCTGAGGGCCTACAATGGAGGAAAGAAAGTCTTTTCAACAAATGGTGCTGGGAAAACTGGACAGCCACATGTAAAAGAATGAAAATCAACCATTCTTTTTCACCATTTACTAAAATAAACTCAAAATGGATCAAAGACCTAAAGATTAGGCCTGAAACAATATGTCTGCTAGAAGAGACAGCACACACTTTGACATCAGCTTCAAAAGAATTTTTTCAGACACCATAACCCCTCACATGAGGGAAACAATAGAAAGAATAAACAAATGGGACTTCATCAGGCTAAAGAGCTTCTTCAGGGCAAGGGAAAACAGGATTGAAACAAAAAAACAGCCCACTAAGTGGGAAAAAATATTCACAAGTTATTTATCTGACAAAGGGTTAATCTCCATAATATACAAAGAACTCACACAACTCAACAATAAAAAATCAAATAACCCAATTACAAAATGGGCAGGGGACATGAACAGACATTTCTCCAAAGAAGATATACGGATGGCCAATAGACACATGAAAAGGTGCTCATCATCACTAATCATCAGGGAAATGCAAATCAAAACTACACTAAGATATCATCTTACACCTGTTAGAATGGCAAAAATATCCAAAACCAAGAGTGACAAATGTTGGAGAGGCTGTGGAGAAAAGGGAACCCTCATACACTGCTGGTGGGAATGCAAACTGGTGCAGCCACTATGGAAAACAGTATGGAGATTCCTCAAAAAGTTAAGAATAGAAATACCTTATGACCCAGCCATCCCACTACTGGTTATATATCCTAAGAACCTGAAATCAGCAATTTCAGAAGCTCTATGCACCCCTATCTTCATTGCAGCATTATTCACAATAGCCAAGTCATGGAACCAACCTAAGTGCCCAGCAACTGATGATTGGATAAAGAAGTTGTGGTATATTTATACAATGGAATACTACTCAGCCATAAAAAAGGACAAAGTTGTCCCATTCACAACAACATGGATAGACCTTGAGAATATTATGTTGAGTGAAATAAGCCAGACAGAGAAAGACGAACTCGGCATGACTCCACTCATAGGTGGTAGTTAACCTATGGACAAAGAGAACTGATCAGTGGTTGGCAGGGGGAAGGGGGGTGGGGGAGGGCACTAGGGGTGAAGTGGTGTACCTACAACATGACTAATAATAATGTACAACTGTAATTTCACAAGGATGTTAACTTTTATAACCTTAATTAAAAAAAAAGTCTTATTCTGTGGCTTATGCATATGCTGGCATACAGATTATTTTTGAACCATAAATAAACATTTGAACCAATAATACATGAGCCTAATGAATGGTTTGGAATAGATTTTATGCCCTTACTCTCCCATCTTGCTCAAAATGTTAATATACTTAGAACTAGCAGGTGACTCTACATTGTTGCAAACTGTTATTGTTAACTATTGTAGAAGGGGCTGATTTTATCAGGAAAATGTACCTCTTAGCCTGTTATCATTTAATTAACTTGGTGATGATGAAGGGAAAATTCCACTAACAGAAGGCAAATGGAATATTCATTCTAACAATAAAACTGTTACTATTTGTGATGACATGATTTTGTATGCAGAAAACCCTAAAGAATCTGCCAGAAAACTATTAGAAATAATAAATGAATACAGTAAAGTTACAGGGTTCAAAAATGAACATACAAAAACAGTTGTGTTTCTGTATACTATCAACAAACTAGCAGAAAGAGAAATCAAGAATACAGTCCCATTTACAATCACAACAAAAAGAATAAAATACCTAGGAATAAACTTAAGCAAGGAGGTGAAAGACCTATACACTGAAAACTATAAGACATTGCTGAAAGAAATTGAAGAAGACATAAAGAAATGGAAAGATATTCCATGCTCCTGGATTGGAAGAACTAACATAATTAAAATGTCCATATTACGTAAAACAATCTACAGGTTCAATGCGATCCTTATCAAAATCCCAGTGACATTTTTCAGAAATAGAACAAAGAATCCTAAAATTTATATGGAACAGCAAAACACCCCAAATAGCCAAAGCAATCCTGAGAAAAAGGAACATAGCTGGAGATATCGTATTACCTGATTTCAAAGTACACTACAAAACTATAGTAATCAATACAACATGGTACTGGCAGAAAAACAGACACAGAGATCAATGGAACATAATTGAAATCCCAGAAATAAACCCACTCATCTACAGACAGCTAATCTTCAACAAAGGAGCCAAGAACATGCAATGGAGAAAAAGAAAGTCTCTTCAATAAATGGTGTTGGGAAAACTGGACAGCCACATGCAAAAGAATGAAAGTAGACCATTAACTTATACCATACACAAAAATTAACTGAAAATGGATTAAAGACTTGCAGGTAAGACCTGAAATCATAAAACTCCTAGAAGAAATTATAGGCAGTAGATTCTAGGACATCAAACTTAGCAGTATCTTTTCAAATACCACGTCTACTCAGGCAAGGGAAACAAAAGAAAAAATAAATGGGACTGCATCAAACTAAAAAAGCTTCTGCAAAACAAAGGAAACCATCAACAAAACCAAAAAACCTACTGATTAGAAGAAGATATTTGCAAGTCATATATCTGATAAGGGGTTAATATCCAAAATATCTAAAGAAATCATACAGTCAACAACAAAAAAGCAAACAACCCAATTAAAAAATGGGCAGAGGATATAAACAGTCATTTTTCCAAAGAAGATATACAGATGGCAAACAGGCACATGAAAAGATCTTCAGCATCACTAATTATTAGGGAAATGCAAATCAAAACTACAATGTGATGTTATCTTACACCCATCAGAATGGCTATTATTAAAAAGACAAGGAATAACAAGTGTTGGAGAAGATATGGAAAAAAGGGAACTTTTATACATTGCTGATGAGAATGTAAATTCGTATAGCCACTATGGAAAACAGTATAGAGATTCCTCAAAAAATTAAGACTAGAAGCACCCTATGATCCAGCAATTCCACTTATGGGTATTTATCCAAAGAACACAAAAATACTAATTCAAAAAGATATATCCTCCCTGTCTTCATTGCAGCATTATTCACAATAGCCAAGACTTGGAAACAACCTAAGTGCCCATCTATGGATGAATGGATAAAGAAGATATGGTATATATACACAATGGAATACTACTCAGCCATAAAAAAGATAGAATCTTGGGGCTGACCCAGTGGCATAGTGGCTAAGTTCATGTGCTCCACTTCGGCTGTCTGGGATTCACAGGTTCAGATCCCAGGCTCGGACATACACACCACTTGTCAAGCCATGCTGTGACGGCATCCCACATACAAAGTGGAGGAAGATTAGCATAGATGTCAGCTTGGGGACAATCTTCTTCAAGCAAAAAGGGGAAGTTAGCAACAGATGTTAGCTCAGGGCCAATCTTCCTCACCAAAAGAAAAAGATGAAATCTTGCCATTTGTAACAACGTGGATGGACCTTGAGGGTCTTAGGCCAAACGAAATATGTCAGATGGACAAAGCTAAATACTGTATGATTTCACTCATGTTTGGAATATAAACAAACAAGCAAGGACATAAGATAAGGAGAACAGATTGGTGGTTACCCGAGGGGAAGATAAGAGGGGAGGGCAAAAGATGTGAAGGGGCACATATGTATGGTGACGGATAAAAACTAGACTCTTGGTGGTGAACGCAATGTAGTCTATACAGAAGTTGAAATATAATGATGTACACCTGAAATTTATATAACGTTATAAACCAATGTGACCTCAATTAAAAATAATCTTTTGGTACTAGTAAATGAAAAACATCTGATTGCTTTCTTAATATTTAGATAATCATCAATACTTAACCCAGTGCCTACATCTCAAAAATGAATCCTACATAAAATAAATTAGAACAGTCATTGCCATCTAAAAACTTAATGGTTAAAATTAAATTACAGCCAAGAGCTATTGAGGAGACACAAAGCTATGGTTCTTAAACTTAACATGAAACTCTCATAAACAGTTTTAGACCAGCTCTCCAGCAAAGTGTACATACATCTCTAAATTTCCTACAGTTTTAGCTGGTATAGGGCCCCAGTGCACTCCAGAGTAAGAGCCCATGCTGTAAATAGTCAAATATTTAGTGACTGCAATAGTCAAATAAATACTGACTACATCTGTTACATTTTAAGACAAGAGCAGTTACATTTGTATGGCAAGACTCAAAGAAAACCACAGAAGTCTCACATTTCAACTGAAATTTGGTCAAAGACATTCCTAATCATTCTGAAAGTTCTAGTGTAAATGGTTCCTTCTCCCATAAAGAATATGTATGTGACGGAGAAGAGCAATAATTCTCACAAATTTATGCAGTAGTGGGGACAGGGGACATTAGGGGTTAATAGAAGAAACCGTGTGCTTGAGAAGAATTGTCTCACTTTTGTTTGAAAGCTGAGGCACGACACAGCCACTTAAACAAAAATAGCTTAAGAGATTTCCAGCTGAGCTGTTAAGAATTAGTCCCGTACACATCTTAGTCTGGGGCTGTGGATTACTGGAGGGCCATGCTGAGGTTAACAAGTTAAATGCTCCCTCTCTTCTGTTATAACCTAGTTTTCTGTTCAAGTAGATTTAAAACATGTTCATTCCACTTCTATCTTTGCCATTCCAGCCCACAATAATTTTTCTCTTTGCTCTTACAGACAGACGGCACCATCCGGCCTGGGGTCACAAGTACAATTAAACGTGGAAGTCCTCTGCCAAGAGCTTACGGCTAACATAATGAAGTTGGAAAAGGTGACTGACTTCTTTCCCGTGTTTGGGGGCAGTCAAAGTAGTGCTTGTGAGTCGCCATGATCGGGGTTACACACTAAAACACCTTCGGCGTGCAGCAGGCAACCTCAGTGACCAGGCCCAGCCAGGGGATTGCATTGTAAATGTGAAAGGATGTTTTTTATTTCCACAAAGAAATAGATTTTAATCTTATTTTCCTTGTTGCTCTGTCTTCTGGTTTTCCACCTCGGTTAGAAATATGCCTGTACCATAGGGCCCAATGCTAAGTGCCCACTGACACGGGGCTCAGTGGAGGGACACTGTAGGGAGTGTCCCGACCAGAGAATAGAGCCCAGCTCCACCCAGGCTGATTGTTGCCAGACATACAATATTGCATTCAGTGTCTATTACAGCCCTGGGAGATAGATGTCATTGTTTCCATCGGACAGACGAAGAATCAAAGTTTCAAATTAACTTGCTCAAGGAGACACACCTAGAAAGTTGGCAGACCTGGAATTTAAAGCCGGTCTATCTGACTCCAAAGGTGTGCGTAGGAGCCCTTTGCCTTCCTGCTCCTCAGAACCCAACCTTCAGCTTTGCTGACAAGGCCGCTGATGTTCTTTACCTCTAAAAGTATCTTCCTGTGGGGCAACTTTAGGGCAAATATGTCCTTAGGCTTGTGGTTTATGTAGAAGTCAATAGAAGGATGAACAAGGAGAAGAAGGTAGGCACGCCAGAAATAGCCCAAAGTGAAACCTGGTTAATATTTCTTACTTCTCCTTTCAACATGTCTATCCGCTCCCATCTGATACTTTGCTTTTACCCTAATCCTTAAGGATAGGTTTGGAGTGAAGTGTCCAATTCAAACTGCTACCACAAACGCCCAGTATCCGGCGGCTTTCCATAATTGGGCACTGGTGCTTACTTGGAAAGAAACATGAAATACAAAGTAGTCAAATTCTGTTCATTTTGCTATACTAAACGTTATCTAGCATTTAACCACTGAAGGAAGTATTGAGAGCAAAAGAGTTTCCAAACTTCTGGTCTACGCCAAGGCATGACAGATAATTACTATTGAATCATTGTATCTATGGGCAAACTTGGAAACTTTCTCTTTTAAATCCAAAATCAACCTAGAGATGGTCTGGTGTAGCAACCAGAATTGTTTTCCTTCCTAAATGTTAGTCACTGACAATTGAAGATAAATTATTATTATTAATTTTTTTTGTAATGAAATGCTTACAGATGTTTGGCTTCCACGCTGACGTAGAGAATGGGGTGGTATTTGTTTTCTGTTTTGTTCACTCTGGCATATAGTAGTCTTCTTTGGACTAGAATCACACAGAATCCCACTGCCCTCTTGTGCATTTCTTCCCACTCTCCTGCCAGCCCTGGCTAAGACACCACTTTCTGTAATGAGGGACAGAGAAATAGCACGCTTGTCCACAAGAGGCGGACAGCTGGCCGTATCTGGTACAGGGCTTCAGATAGAGCCCAGCTACTCAGCTAGGAGGCCTAAAGTACCGATAGAAAGCCATGTCCCAAAGCAGAGGCAGTAAAAAGTGGACATAGGGTCAAAATGCATTTATTGAAGTTCTAAAATGTTATAAGCTGCACACATTGGTCGAAGGAGCCTAAGCATAAAAGCAGTTACCAGGCCACACCCAGATTCCTCGTGATTGCTCTGCCCCCTCAGAGGCAGCCGGCGATAATGCAGCACAGCCTGGTGGTGGAATAGCAGCTACATGCTGTGGGAAGGTTGGAGCCATGTCTCAGCTCTTTTTACTCAGTACCGGCAATTCCTTCCCACTCTCCTTCAGGGACTGGCCATGTCTAAGCCTCCTGATCCTCCCTACTGTGACTCCCTGATTTCTGTTCATGGCATCACTGCCCTTTCAGGCATCCTTGGTGGAAATCTAAGAAGAATGTTTAACTCCTTCCTCACTTGTCACTGCCTAATTAGTTGACAAGTCCTATGCAATCTGTCTTCAAATGGCTCCTCAAGTTCTCTTTCCACTGACCCCAACTTAGTCCCTTCTGGCCTCCTACTGCCAGTCTAAGAGCATGAAATCAGGTCCCATTATGGTCTGTATTTGCATTTTCCCAGTTACTGCTGCATTTGAACATCTTTTCATATACTTATTGGCCATTTGGATTTTCTTCCGTAAATTGCCCATTTACCTCCTTTGTTTTCCTTTTGGGTTTTTTTGTCTTTGTAGATGTGTTTTATTATTTTTCCGATATCAGTCCTTTGTTTCATTTTTTTTCTACCTTCTGACTCCTACTTTTCCATTTATCTTTGGTCCTGGGGGATAGGTAGGGAAGACATGAAGTAGGAATGTGGGAATGAAGGCAATGCTTTTTATGGGTAAAGAAGTGAACACTTTTTCTTAGTACTGGAAATGGCATTAATGGTGGAGCAGTGTAGAAGAAAGAGCATAAATTTTGGAGTCAAACCTCTCTTCTTATCCCTACTCTGCCACTTACTATCTGTGTAACTAGTCTTGTCATATAGCCTCTCTGGCCCTCAGTCTCGCATGTGAAACGTGCCTCTGTGTGGTGGTGTGTGGTTAAGGTGAGCACGTGGGAAGTTCCTGGCAGAGACACTGGATCCCTCCTCTTCGCTTACCCTGTGTGTGCCTGTAAGACATCACAGACTGTTCTTCCAAAAGAAGAATATAGTCTGTCTCTTTTGTTCCACAGGGCTCTATGCTCTCATCACAGTATTGGCTGTTGAGAATTCCTTGCTCTGAATTCTTTAAAGTTCATTTACTCAACAAACACGTACTGAGCACGTTTTATGTCCAACACTGCACTGTAGTCTTGAGAGCCAGAGACAGGGCATGGCCCCTGTCTCTGTGAAATTCAATCCTCTGGGAAATGTTGTATTGTATCTAAGAGGAGGGTTAAACATTATTATGTGGTGTTTGTCTGATTCGGACCATCACATGGGCTCATAAAGACCAGTTTCCCATCGTCTCTGAATGCATTTGGGTTACACCTGGAGTTCATGCTCTCGTTCTTTTTCTTCCATCTGATTTCTCTTGGTCTCTACTGACATTTTCAACTTCGCACCCCTCTTTCTTTTTTAGCCTTATCTTTTTTCATTTTAAAGTGGATTGTCAAACCGAGTTCTAGTCCATTAAAAAGCATTTACTTGCCTGATCTAAATTTAACACGTGTAGCTTTTTATTCAAGGTAGAATAGATTAACCTCAAGCATTATATAGGCCGTAGCAAACATGCCCTTAATACACTCCATTCTATTTAATAACAGGAGCTTCTCTCTTATTATTTCAAGATACAAAACAACTTACAAAAGCTGCTTGAGAACGGTGACTGATACACCAGATTGCTTGGGCCAACACAATACCTCGCGCTTCCCTTTAAAGAAGGTGCTCCAAGGTGTTGCGATGGAGCGTTCCCTGCTGGCCAGAGGAGCGAGTGGACGGGCATGCCCAGCCATGTTTGTGCTCCGAGGTCTCCGGCTCAGGAATGGGGGGAAGGGGAATAATTTTGGTTCCTGTGCAATAAAAGTTGACCTTGGCTCTCTGAGGAAGTTTCAGTGCTGCTGCCCGAAGAAAACAGACCCATCTCTGGAGGTCTCGGGAAGGGCCTGGTGGACTCTCTCTTGGATAATTGTGGTTGGATGGTTATTGTGACCATGTCAGCAAACACACTCCACTTCATGCTTTTTTAGTCCTCCCCACCCTCCTTTTCTCTCCTTTACTCTCCTCTTAACCAGCGTTCAAACTAAGGGATATATCATGTGCCAACCAGCTTGATGTGGTCCTTTAAAGAATTGGCCATGACTCTCCAAAAAGGCCATAAATAGCTCTAATGGACAGACTTGCTTCAAACATTTAACACCAACATTTTGTCTATTGTTTTTTTTTCCTTTCTTTCTTCTGCTGTTATGTTTTGGTTTAAATCAGCTATGTATCTTAACTTCTCAATTGAGTACTGGCAAGAATATCAGGCAAAGTGGATTAAACTGCCCCATTTATGTTTTGTGTTGTTCCTCCAACTAATACTTAATTGGACTGATTCTCACCCACCCCAGGTCAAAAATCTGTTGAGACATGGGACAAAGTACTAAATTAAACTTACTTTGAAAGCAAAACTAATCTTTAAACCAAAAAAGTATACTGGTGATTTGATACAAGATGAAAAACACTGAATTTTTAAGATTATAGGTGGACAATGTTAGTTTTGAAACAAGATGTCTCTATTAAGTGCTGAAACCCATGTCAGCATGATGATGGCATGCCTTTCTCTTTTGCTGACTAAAATAAATAACTGGTGGTTTGCTAACTTCTATTTACCATATGGATTGGCTGGTTTTTATTAATAATTACTTAGGTACCATAAGATCTGTAATACAAAAGATACTCCATTTCTATCTGCAATGCATTTTATAATCATTTCTATGAAATGTATTTTGTTTAATCAAATAAGCTAATAAATGAATTGGTTACATCATTTGTATTTGTTAGCCTACTAGACAAGAATTGTGCCTGGTGCACCCCAGCTTTTAATAAATACTCAGTGGTTACAATGCCCTGCTAACACTGTATTTTGTAAGTTTGTGAATTCTCTTAACTAAGACAATATGTTTTTTAACTGCTTCTCGCCTCCTTTCTACTACTTCCGACTTACCCGTACTTACTTCCTCCCGAGTGTTCATTTCAAAACTCAAAAATGATTTGAATTCTTGGGCTGCAATGATATAGGGGAAAGAAAATGAACTTTGAAATCACAGAACCAATGCTTGATTCCTAGGTCCCTATTTTATGAGTTGTGTGACCTTAAGTAAGGTATTTGGCCATTGTCCCCCATTTTATTGATGAGGCTGAAAGTACCAACAAAAACTGTCATTGTGGGGATTAAATGTGATAATGTCTCTAATGCTTATCACCGTGTCAAGGCAAGTAGCATACACTCTTATAACAGGTACTATATTCATTGTTACAAAAAATGTTTTCAGGCCTGACATTCTACTTTTATAAAAGTTATATGTCAATGCTTTATAGTCAAGACCCATTAGAGATTCAAGTGGGTCAGCCACCTCTGGAGAGAAATTTTACAACTGTATGAAGAGCCTTTAAAACATTCAAATTTCACTGAATTAGTAACCTGCTATCTAGGAATTTATCCTAAAGCAATAAGCAGAGATCTAGTCAAAATTTATATACAGGAATATTCTTTGAAGCATTATGAAGCAAAATAGTGTAGACTCAAATATTCAACAGAAGAACAGTTAAATGATGTAGCTATTTAGAATTGTATTGTTAAAGAATAGCATAGAAACGGTCTTCGTTGGAGTTGCCGCGGTTTCCTGCTTCGACAGTGCTTGAACGGGAACCCGGCGCTCGCTCCCCGCCCCGGCCGGCCACCCAGAGTCAGCCCTCCTTCACCTCCTCACAGCGCCCTCGGCCGGCCGCAAGGCTCCCGCCGCCGCTCCAGCGCCGCCCCGCCGCCGTCTTCTCCTCTCCTCAGCCGTCCGCCATGACGACCGCGTTCCCCTCGCAGGTGGGCCAGAACTACCACCAGGACTAGGAGGCCGCCATCAACCATCAGATCAACCTGGAGCTCCACGCCTCCTGTGTGTACCTGTCCATGTCTTTCTGTTTTGATCGCGATGATGTGGCTTTGAAGAACTTTGCCAAATATTTTCTTCACCAATCTCATGAGGAGAGGGAACATGCTGAGAAACTGATGAAGCTGCAGAACCAACGAGGCGGCCGGGTCTTCCTTCAGGACATCAAGAAACCAGACCAGGATGACTGGGAGAATGGGCTGAAGGCAATGGAGTGTGCATTACACTTGGAAGAAAATGTGAATGAGTCACTATTGGAACTGCACAAACTGGCCACTGACAAAAATGACCCCCACTTGTGTGACTTCCTCGAGACTCATTACCTGAATGAGCAGGTGAAAGCCATCAAAGAATTGGGTGACCACGTAAACCAACCTGCGCAGGATGGGGGCCCCCGAATCTGGCATGGCAGAGTATATCTTTGACAAGCACACCCTGGGAGAGTGTGACGAGAGCTAAGTCTCAAGCCAGCTTCCCCCAGCCACCAGGTGACTTCCCTGATCCACTGAGGCCGTGCATGCATGTTGGGGTTACCTTTACCTTTTCTATAAGTTGTACCAAAACATCTACTTAAGTTCTTGGATTTGTACCATTCCTTCAAATAAAGTAATTTGGTACCCAAAAAAAAAAAAAGAATAGCATAGAAAATAGCATTAAAAGAGTAGGAACAAAACTTTATGGTATGATCCCAATTTTATGAAGAAACTGCTACGTGTATGTGTGCATGTATACACATATGTACATACATATGGAAGCACACACACATTGACCTTTTCTGTATTCTTTAAGTTTTGCATAATGAGCAGTTACTAGCTTTTTTTAATTAGATAAGTTGATTAAAAGTATTAAGTAGCCCTCAGCAAGGAGTCAGATCTTAAAGCTGTGCCCCCCCTCACATAACACTGCTGCTAGTTCTACACCAGAAGCCACTTTTTTAGTGGTTTTTCCAACAACAACTACAGTTGATTCTTCCAAAGAGAGAAAAAGCACTTCATTTCTAGAGTTAGTTATTTTTGCTTTGGGGATGTTGTTGCTTGTTCTCTTTTCTGTTACTATCTTCTAAGTCAAAATCTGGTGCAGGTGGATCTGAACGGTGGCGCCCAGGTCATATGTGTGCATATTAACTACAAAGAAGCGGGGACAACAAGCATCTGGGATTTTTCAGCCTCCAGCACCTTGATACAAAAGTAAGGAATTCTAACATAGGAAGTGATTTCACATACTGAGTGGCCAAAATAATAGGAAATGTCCACCATATACCTTGCCCTTTAAAACTTGAGTATTTCCTCTCTATAATCAGAAAAAAGAAAAAAAGTGAAATGAGATTATTGGTTAAAATGCTATTTCTATGCATTCTGATATTTTAATCTATGATTAAATATATACTATTTTGATGAACAGAAATTACCCATCTCACATAAAGTGGAAATGCTATAATTACCAACCTTTCAAGCTTTGTGAATATATAGATACTTTCCTACTTATACTCTGCAACACTCCAAGGCATTTCCCAGGTGTTAATTTATGCAAGTCTTTGAAACCATCCCAGACACATTTTTTAAGATGTCTTCTCCTTGCCTTCCACAACTCATCCCAATTCATAAATTCATGGAGTCAGACCAAAAAATTTCCAACTTAAATGTGGATTGTCTCATATGCTGTTTTGATTTATGTATCCTATTAGTGAAATTTTGATGATGCTTTCATTGTTCATCTGTTTGTTTCTGGTCATGGACACTAACATGGTATAGATAGCGCAGGTGATTTTGCTCTCAAGCATTTTTTTAAAAGTCAAAATTCTACACATCAGTAATAGTTGTGCTGTCGTTTGGGATTCATAACCTGATCTTCTCACAAAGGAGTCCAATGATATAATATTCTTTTCATGTGACTTTTTAAAGTCTATCCCTGCTAATAATGATATTACCAGTTCTTGACCAAAAAAAAAAATCAGAGACAGTAAATGAAGCATCTCTGACCACTGAATTTCCAGTACTTCATTATTCTTTCCAAATGCTAAGCCTTACCCAAAGCAATCAGCAGATTCAATGTGATCCCTATCAAAATTTCAATACCATTTTTCACAAAAATAAAACAAACAATCCTAAAATTTGTATGGAACCACAAAAGACGCTAAATAGCCAAAGCAATCTTGAGAAAGAAGAACAAAGCTGGAGGCATCACACTCCCTGATATCCAACTATGCTACAAAGCTATAGTAATCAAAGCAGTATGGTATTGGCATAAAACAGACACACAGATCAGTTGGAAAAAATTGAGAGCCCAGAAATAAACCCATGCATATATGGTCAATTAATTTACAACAAAGAAGACAAGACTATACCATGGGGAAAGGACAGTCTCTTCAATAAATGGTGTTAGGAAAACTGAATGGCCACACGCAAAAGAATGAAAGTAGATCGTTATCTTACACCATAAACAAAAATTAACTCAGAAACGGATGAAAGACTTGAATGTAAGGCCTGAAATCATAAAACTAGAAGAAAACAGAAGCAGTAAGCTCCTTGACATTGGTCTTGGTGAGGATGTTTTTTATCTGACTCCAAAAGCAAAGACAACAAAAGCAAAAATAAACAAATAGGACTACATCAAACTAAAAAGCTTCTGCACAGCAAAGAAACCATCAACAAAGTGAAAAGGCAACCTACTGAATGGGAGAAAATATTTGCAAATCATATATCTGATAAGGGGCTAATATCCAAAATATATAAAGAACTCATAGAACTCAATAACAAAAAAAATCCCATTAAAAAATGGTCAAGAGATCTGAATAGACATTTTTCCAAAGGCATACAGATGGCCAATAGGTACATGCAAAGGTACTCAACATCACTTATCACCAGGGAAATGCAAATCAAAACAACAATGAGGTATCACCTCACACGTGTTAGAATGGCTATTACCGAAAAGACAAGAAATAACAAGTGTTGGCCGGGATGTGGAGAAAAGGGAACTCGGGCATTGTTGGTGGGAAAGTAAATTGGTGCAACCACTATGGAAAACAGTATGGAGGTTCCTCAAGAACTAAAAATAGAACTACGATGTGATCTAGCAATTCCACTTCTGGGTATTTATCTCAAGAAAAAGAAAACACTAACTCAAAAATTATCTGCACCCCCGTGTTCATTGCAACATTATTTACAATAGCCAAGATATGCAAACAATCTAAATGTCTATCTATGGATGAATGGAGAAAGAAAATGTGGAGTATATATATACAATGGGATATTATTCAGCCATAAAAATAAATAAAATCTTGCCATTTGCGACAACGTGGATGGACCTTGAGGGCATTTTGTTCAGTGCATTAAGTCAGATAGAGAAAGACAAATATTGTATGGTCTCACTTATAATGCAAAATCTTAAAAAAGGAAAAAAGCTCATAGATTTAGAGAACAGATTGGTGGTTGCCAGAGGCAGGAGTTGGGAGATGGGTAAAATAAAATGGGTGAAGGGGGTCAAAAGGTACAAACTGCTAGTTATAAAATAATAAGTCACGGTGATGTAATTTACAGCATGGTGACTATAGTTAATAATACTGTATTGCCTATTTGAAAGTTGCTAAGAGTAAATCTTAAAAGTCCTCGTCACAAGAAAAAAATTTTTGTAACTATGTATGGTGACAGATGTTCACTAGGCTATTGTAGTGAGCGTTTTGCAATATATACAAATACTGAATCATTATGTTGTACACCTGAAACGAATATAATATGTCAATTTAAAAAAAAAATAAGAATTTCTGTTTTTAGCTACTCTTGCTAAGGTGAAATTCTTTTCAGTGTCTGCTTTTAATCTCCTAAGTGGCTGTTATAGGTCTAATTCTGTCTTCTAAGGAAGTGTATTTTCTCAAAGAATATTTTAAAAAGCAGCAAAGATATGTTCGACGTTAAGATGTTCAGTGAAAAAGTCTGAGTGCAAAATTATATCACAACTTCTAGGTAAAAATATTCAGCCAT